AGGCGCTAACACAGACCGTGTCTGCAGTATTGTGTGCAAAGTCATGGAGAAGATTACAGGAGGAGATGGCGAACACCTAAAGGAACAAGTTTAAAATAAAAACCACGGGGTTCATGGAAGGCAAATTTGTATCCAACCCTCCGGAGTTTTATAAAAGGGTAACAGCGTAAGACACGAGAGAGAGGGGTGGGTTGTTTGCTTTTTTCCTAGATGCGGGAAAGGCCTTTGACCCATTTCCCCCAAAAGAGATTAGTGCAAAGCTGGGGGATCAGGGGCATGTAACAGGGAGGGCACCAGTGGATCGGAATACTTACAGGGGAGCAACGAGTCATGGTAGTGAAGAGGTTCACAGTGGGCCCCCTGGACGAACGGGGTCCCACGGGGTCTTTTCTAGGCCATGCTTTTTTTTGTATATGCGAACGACAGAGGGAAGGAATAGACTCTAAAGTGTCCCTATTCGAGATGTTGAATTTGAGAGAAGAATTAAACGATGAGGATGAGGCAGTACTGAAAAGAGACCTGGACGGGGCTGGACATGTGTCCAAAACTGGCTTCTCAAATTTTAAAACCCGCCAAATGCAAATCATGAAGATTGGGGAGGGGAAAAAAGAAGACCGCAGACAGAGTTAGGCTAGGTGGACAAAGACTACAGACCTATAGGGAAAAAGCCCTGGGGGGTGCCATAACCCCCGGCAGTCACCGGGGGCCACACATAAACCCAAAAACTCTGCACATAGGGCGCCTGGCAAACCTGAGAATAGCGTTCCGATCCCTTTAAAAAGGAATCGTTCAAGACACTGTACACTGTGTATGTTAGGCCCATACGGAGAGCAGCCCAGTCTGGAACCCCCACCCGGGCAAGCACTCAAGAAGTTAAGAAAGTACAAAGGTTTGCCAAGGCTAGTCCCCCGAGCTCAGGGGAATGTCTAGAGGAAAGGGTTTAGGGAAACGACTGACGACACTGGAGGACAGAAGGTCAGGGGAGACATGATAACGACAACAAGATACGCGGGGAATAGACAAAGGGGACAGAGATAGGAGTTCCAGAGAGGGGGGCAGGAACAAGGGGGCACAACTGGGAACTGAAGACCGGACGAGTCACGGGACGTTAGGAAGTATTTTTTCAGTCAAGAGTGTAGGAAGTGAATAGCCTAGCAAGTGAATGTGGGGCAGAACCATACATAGTTTTTTAAAAAGAGGATGATAAAGCTCAGGAAGCAAGAGAGAGAGAGGACCTAGTAGCAATCAGTAAGACGGGGCCAGGAGCTGAGTCTCACCCCGCAACCACAATTAGGGAGTACACTAAAAGGGATCTGGGAAAGGGTCAGGCCCGGTCCCGCAAATTGGTCCTTGAGTTCAACCCCACCAAGTGCAAAGTCATGAAGATTGGGGTAGGGCAAAGAAGACCGCAGTCTAGAGGACCAGACACTACAAACCTTACTCAAGGAAAAAGATCTTGGGGTGAGTATAATACCAGGCACATCTCCTGAGGCACACATCAACCAAATAACTGCTGCAGCATATGGGAGCCTAGCAAACCTAAGAACAGCATTCCGCCATCTTAAGGAATCGTTCAGGACTCTGTACACTGTGCACGTTAGGCCCATATTGGAGTATGCGGCACCAGTTTGGAACCCACATCTAGCCAAGCACGTAAAGAAACTAGAGAAAGTGCAAAGGTTTGCAACAAGACTAGTCCCAGGACTAAGGCGTATGTCCTACGAGGAGAGGTTAAGGGAAATCGGCCTGACGACACTGGAGGAGAGAAGAGATAGGGGGGACATGATAACGACATAAAATACTGAGAGGAACTGATAAGGTGGACAGGACAGAATGTTCCAGATATGGGACACAGCAACAAGGGGACAGTTGGAAATTGAAGACCCAGATGAATCACAGGGGTGTTTTGAAGCATTTCTTCAGTCACAGAGTACTCAGGAAGTGGAATAGTTTGGGAAGCGATGTAGTGGAAGCAGGATCCATTCACAGCTTTAAGCAGAGGTATGATAAGGCTACTGATGCAGGGAGAGTGACCCAGTAGCGGCCAGTGAAGAGGCGGGGCCAGGAGCTATGACTCGATCCCTGCAGCCACAACTAGGTGAGTGTACACACACACACACATTTATATATATCTTTCTTTCTTTCAACACACCGGCCGTATCCCACCGAGGCAGGGTGGCCCAAAAGGAAAAACGAAAGTTTCTCCTTTTACATTTAGTAATATATACAGGAGAAGAGGTTACTAGCCCCTTGCTCCCGGCATTTTAGTCGCCTCTTACAACACGCATGGCTTACGGAGGAAGAATTCTGTTCCACTTCCCCATGGAGATAAGAGGAAATAAACAAGAATAAGAACTAGAAAGAAAATAGAAGAAAACCCAGAGGGGTGTGTATATATGTGCTTGTACATGTATGTGTAGTGTGACCTAAGTGTAAGTAGAAGTAGCAAGACGTACCTGAAATCTTGCATGTTCATGAGACAGAAAAAAGGACACCAGCAATCCTACCATCATGTAAAACAATTACAGGCTTTCGTTTTACACTCACTTGGCAGGACGGTAGTATATATTATATATATATAACATAAGAAAAGAGGAACACTGCAGTAGGTCTGTTGGCCCATACTAGGCAGGTCCTTCGCAGATCCAACCCACTAACAGAATAAACGTACCCAACCAATAAGCATTGACAATTCTATTTACTCATCTTGACTGTGTACTAATGGAGTTTACAGGAAGGTGACATCGAAGAAATGCTGAACATTGACAATGATGCACCTGTTGTGCATTCCTTGAGTGATGGTGAAATTAGATGAATTGTGATATATAAATAGGCCGTCGAGTTGATATTAGCATCATACTGAAGTATTGTGTCGTGCCTCCTGAGAATAGGAATTCCGCTGAAACGGATTAAAGCCATTTCAGTTAATTTAAATGAGGAAAATTGACTCGGCATATAAACATATATATATATATATATAATATATATATATATATATAAATATATATATATATATATATATATATATATATATATATATATATATATATATATAAATGCATACACAGACATATGCACACAACATATATAAGCAAGCTCCATGTTGTATGTTCATAAAGCACATACAACATGGAGTTGTAGCGCTTTATTTCCTGCATGGGTTTAGCGCTTTTTTGTGAATATTGCAGTATAGGTGGCTATTGATTATTTCACATTGTGCAATGCATTGCGCAATGTGGTGAAATTCATACCTCATCGCGGGTCAAAGTCTGTGGTGATTGTTCACGTGATGCCCAGACCAGTGTTGCAACACGCCAGTGGCTAGACCAGCTTCACTTTCACACAACATTTGGTAGCAATCTTAACAAAGATATTATGTTTTGTATAAAGTGTGTGAAGGTGTGAGTGGCTAATTAATAACAAAATTTGAGTGTCTCGAACTGAACGTCTGATTATTAAAGCGAGAGAAAGAGAATATTAGTCATGTAGGAATGTTAGGTAACACATGATTCACGAATGTTGCGCCACCTTTCGTCAGCAGTGATACGTATATTTCCTCGAGTATAAAACGTTAAACTGCAGGTGCAATACAGCAGAAAACATCCACACATTGAAGAAGCTCTTCTGACTGAGCGACCTGCGTTACTCATACCAAGAAGTCAGCATTAGCAACTTGAAGAACGGCACGGAAGACTATAGACAATTTCTGGTGTGTGTCAACTATAGGTATTTCACTTTTATCTCGATACCAGCGAGAGAAGCTGAAGGAATTTGTTGACTGCCTTGGTAGTCATAAATAATTTCATCGATAACTGCTGAAGTTAATATTGAAGTAAGACCAACATCTTTATGTGAAGTTGATATTCGCAAATTAAAATAATGTTTTAATATTTAGTATTAGTTTAAAAGTGTGTATTTGATGCAAAAGTTATATATTTTAGGCTTTCAATGTATTAGCCTTTTATTGACTAACGTTTTTTGTACAACATTTAAATACAGTATGTGTGCCAAATAAGTGAAGTGCAACAGGAAGTGAATGGAAATGGCCTTGTTGGGTTATACTAGGTTAAATAATAGTCTATTGTTAGCCCTTGCATCCCTGTACTGATTATGCTGTGTAAATTCTTGATATGGGTAACATCTGATGAGGAAGAAACACGTGCAACTCTAGGTGTCTTATCAATTAAACGTTTCTCCTGCACCGCAGACTTCATTAGTCGTATATAGGGAGGAATTAAGTCAGACTGCCTCTTATATACCATCTCCAGCCTCGTAATTCATCGCTGTATTCAACTGATCAAGTCTGCCGTGCAAAAGAAACATTTCGGTGTATTGTATACTATTTATAATATGTGAAACATTTACGCTCTCTGACAATTTAAACCTAAATAGACATTTATGTACCTAAAACTAATCTATGTGAAAAAAAATATTTGCTAATTGAGATTATTTTGCCGCTTTAACAAACTGTTTAAAGAATTGTCCGAAACGTTGTGCGTATTTGTTTTACAAAAATGTCAAAATATGTATTAGATTTATTTAACTACTGTATCTCTTGAAATTATTATTATGTACATAAATACACACAAGTATATATTGGTACATACCTACAAACATACATGCATATGTATATATATATTGGTACATTCCTACAAGCTTGTATACACCTTCAAGCATAAATACATATGTATATGTATGCATGTGTATATACATCTCAAGTATACATCTACAAACTCATATATATGCACAAGCATACATAAGCACATGGATACCAAAGCTCACACATCCACTTTTTTTTTATATTTCTGTACATAAGAAACTTATAACTAGGCTGCACTATCCCTGCTGTATGTTGTAGGTATAAAGGTTGAAGTACGGGACCGCACAGCGACCAAAACATATCTAGTTATTAATGGTGTAATATAATAGTATGGTTAAAATTGCATAATTAGTGACTTTCCTTTGTGCCTCCTATTGTACTCATTCACCTTCCCATTTTTTTTTTTTATTCGCCGGTATTCTCCCGGCCCGGGTCTCCATGTATCTACATTATCTGTATATTAAAAAAAAAAATATTATCATTAGTGGTCTAAGAATATGCAATGTGAGGTTGAAACTGTATAACTTATCTGGTAGGTTATCTGCGTCGATGAGTTCATTTGTTGCCAGCTAATTCTTAAGAGTGATTAATGTGCATACTTACCTTATTATGATCGTGACAATAATTTTGCTGAAATATAAATGTCAGTTTCAGTTAAAGATCTCAGATTTGTATTGCACGGGAAATTGAAAATATTATCGTAATGAATTAATATCAACATAAATACACGAATGAGAATCCGAAAACATTGTCATAAATACTATTTTGATGAGCCAGATGAAATAATCATTATCAGAAACAATCTTATTGGTACAACACCTCAATATATGACGATTAAGATACAGACAGCCTGCTCTATCTCCTAACATTAAGAAATTTTACCCGGAATTGGTACAATGTTATCGTGAGAAGTACTGTGCATACATATACGTATACATTTCATCTTACTGTAATCACCTGCACATTACTAATATCTCATAATTATTTCGCTTAATGTAAAAATGATAACGACTCAATGTATGTGCCTTTAGTGCTCAAAGAGTGCTCAGTTACTAGCATTCCCGTAAGCAAAGTGCAAATTTAGCACTGACTCTCACCCTACGAGTAGGTGAGTAATTTAGATCTGTATCTCTCTTGTATTTATGTTGAGAGTTACTATAATTTCTATTTAAGGTATTACTATAATTCCTATTTATGGTATTACTGGTGTTGCTCAGGTGCAGTGCAGCCGTGATTACCCTTGTGTAGTCGATAGGCGTTAAAGCTAATGAGCCAGAATACTCAGCAGTGAGAAGCAATGACCCAGAATATTGAATCTGTGCATTAAGACGCAACAAACAAGTGCTAGATTAGGTTAAGGACGTATAGGTAACAGAAAGCCAAACATCATTACATTATGAGAGGGTGATTATGGAGACTAGTATGATATCTACATTTTCAAACAGAAAAACCCTTCCTTAGCAAGTCGATCAAGGATAGAGTTAGGTAAAAGGACACAAGTGCAACTGATGTGACATTTTTATTGTGGCAACGTTTCGTTCTCCAGGAGCTTTATCATGCCGTTATAACGGCATGATAAAGCTCCTGGAGAGCGAAACGTTGCCACAATGTCACAATAGTTGAACTTGTGTCCTTTTACCTAACATATTGTCGGTAATTCTACTAACATTAACACAAGGATACAGAGAAATGGTGTGTTAAGTCATTAAGTACAATGCTTTTAAATATTAGTATGAGTAATTATGATAGTTTATTAGTTGCAGATCTCAAATAAATAAGGGACCAGATGGGCTATTGAGATAATCACGTTGATATAAATTGGATTCAATAATACACCTGAGTCGAGTACGTAAACAGTGAAATTGACTATGAATATGGCGTACTAATTAGATTTAAAATTCGCAGATACGGGGAACGGGATTTTTTCCATCAGGAGAAACTGGAAAAGTTCTCTTAATGCGATTCTATACATATTGACCAGCTTAGTAAAGAATTTGACCCAGGTTCTTTAGCTGACTTACCTGTTCACCCTACGAAGAATTAGACAGCATGGCGGTCATGGCTGGTAACAGAAAGGATCAGAAGATCGATCCCAGCCATGACTATCATCTGTCACATTCTTGTCCACCCATGAGGGACATTTATTATTATTATTAATCATTAATTATTATTATTAATATAATAATAATCATATATTATTATTATTATTATTATAGTCATCATTATACGATTAATTACTTTACTATTGGTGTAAATAAATCGACGATGTCTTTCTCGCCATCTTTTATTTTCTCTCCTTTAAACATGTTAAATAAATATACATAATACAGTACTTGGAAAGCCGCAAGCCGTTAATAATTATCATAACAAAAAAATCAAATGTAAACTGCTAGCCGAGATAAAAGAAAACCAGCTTGGTGTACACTAGCAACAACCTGTACAGTAACATTCCTAGCTCCATTAACAATACTGATATTGCACATCAGCATAGGACAACAGCACCTAAAGTTGCCTTAGAGTTTTAATTCCCGAATTATATCAACTTATGGATGCGCATAATTGGTGTTCCCAGACAGTGAAAATTGGACACTATTTAAATTGTAAAAAATGTGATAAAATAAGGGAACCAAATATCAAAGCTCAATTTACAGAAAGTGGAAAATCTAGCAGTAGTCTTAGCAGTAGAAGAGTAGCCATAGCAATGGCAGGTGGTAGCAGTAAGATTAACATTTTCCTCCAACTCGCTGAATCGTATCAGTATGATAGGGCTGCTTTGTGCGTTTCCTCCTTTACCAATCAATTTCTCTGCAGCATCTTCAATAGAATATGGTGTTATTTCATAAAAAAAAGATTTCGTGTATACCAGTGAGTCTTGTAATATTTATAATAATACAAATAAGAAAAAGTCGACATAAAAAAAGGGGGAGGGGCGATGATTTCAAAGGTTAGTGTTATGTTACAGTAGGTGAGGGAGTAAATATAAAACAAGTTTATTATTTCTAGTAGACAATTATGACGTCTATTAGTTATCAAATTGGTCTTGAAATGGAAGAGATGGGTGTTGTTAAACTCGGGTAAGTACCATATAAAGCTGTATCGTCTATGGTATTATTATTTATCTTGATTTTCACGTCATTTTTTTTTTTTTACAATTGCAGACATCAGCATGTTTCCTTCAAGGGGACGCGGTCCATCCTTTGGCCCCTTCGGTTTCAATGGTCATCGTGGTGGTTTTGGCCATCACAGGGGAGGACATCACTGGCCATTTGGGCCACATCATGGCTCAATGAGGCCACATCACCACCACCATTTTGGCCCACAACATCGTATGTGTCCCCTGCGTGATGGTGGTCACATGCATAACCATAGACATCATGACAGGGATCTGTCAGATATTATCGCTGCAACATATCATTTGACTCGTCACATGTGCCCCGCTGCTCATTCCTTCGAGGATGAATTTGATGAATTTATCCCACGACATGCCGATAAACACCATCATTCTGTCCCTACATCTGCTGAAGATGACGCTGAGACCTCTGAACATCACATGGACGAGGATCAACACCAGGAACAGCGAGAACAGCAGCAGCATACTTGCAATGCAACTAGTGGTGAGCTTTGGGCGTCAATTGGTGATGATGTATGGACGGCCAAGGTACAACTGGGACCCTTCACAGCAGCTGAGGTGGAAGTGATCAGCGATGGGAAGACTGGAGTTGAAGTACGGGCTGCCCACCGTCATGGAGACATGTTAGTTGCCTCTATGATGCGCCGTTTGCCACCACCATGTGATGCTCCCTACACCGTGTCCCATGCCCATACTCCCACCAGCATACTCGTCACTGCTCGTAAGGTGCCATCTTCCTCCCACGCTAACAGTCGCAAAGATGTATCACAGCCTCAAAGCGAGGAGCCTGTTGAAATCTAGATCTGGGCGGCGCCACTCATTCTGAGTAAATATGTAAATTATACTATCATAATGACGGTATCATTACCTTTATAAATTACCATTATCTAACTGCAGCAAATCCTGTATATTCTTGTTAAAGCTACGAGCTTCAGTTGCATTATGATTATATATATTTGTGGTATTAATTTTATATTCCTATATCCAGCTACATTCTAAGATCTAATGCCAGAATGTCTTAACTTCATTATTTTCACAGTAAAATAGACATTAAACAATATTAAATTTGGTTTGCATTAATATATTACTATATAGCCAGATATAATCTCATACAGATAAATTTTTATTTTAGGATGGTTAACACTGACATAATAAAGAAAAAAATGCACCATTGTTTCGTTTTATTTCACAATCCTAAGATATGTTTGATAATTCAATTATTAATGGTCTCGAGTTACATTTGACAACGAAGCATAACAATATACTGTAAAGTGGATTTATACTGCCAGCGATAATTTGGTCAGCAAAATTATTTTGTTACAGAAAGATAAAAGAATTATGATTATGACAATATAACAAAATGAATAAATATGAAGACGGCAGAAAATGAAAATAAAATGGCATAAAACAGTGATAAAGAACATGATTAAAATTCTTGTGAGTATAATTATTAAGTATCATGTCCGTAACGCAACTGAAAAACGAAGGATCGAACTCCATCACTATCATTTTTTTACCCACACGGATTTAACGCTTTCCTCTAACTAAATTTTTGGTGTCATTCATAGGATAACTAAACATGAATCATTACCTTCCCTCTGCAAGGTAGCATCTATCTCTTCCACTACTTCCATCTATAGTACACAAAGTGCCCGTTACCTCCTCCTTATATATGGTCACGTAATACTCTCATCGTATTTGTCCCTGTTCATACTTCTATAATACAACGATATACTCGGTAGCAGAGCGTTGGTCTCAATCGAAATGACCCGGGTTCGAACTTGGGCCATGCGTATCTGCAAGTCTCCCAACACCTTTGGTGTATTCATCTAGGGAGTTAATCGTTTGTGGGTCGGTTCCTAGGATAGAGAACCGAAGAAACCAAAGGAAATAAATCAGTTTTTTTTAGGTGATCCTGCGTTATCTCCGGAGTTATTAACCCGGAGAATGCCTACTTCCTCATTAATTTTCCATTTAACGGATATTCTGTTTAACAAACTGCCATCCAGTCCTTCGAGAGGCATATGGACTATTTGATGATCTTTCAAGTTTACTACAGAGCTTGGGAAACGATAATTAATCAAATCACGTGTGGAACGCGAGCCCATCACAAGCCAATCCTAAAACTAGCTGACCAGTTTGTTATCCACTGGACCACTGGTCTGCTAGTTTTAACACTGGCTTACCAATGGTTCGAGTCCCACCCGTTCCGTCAATTGTTTGTAGTCATTACGAACTCGTTACCCGCCCTTTCCAAGGAAAGGGCGGGTAACTCCAATTCCTTTAAAAAAAACCTTCACCATATCAAGGCACTTACCCATTGAAGAGTTCAATTAACTAAACATTAACTAGTAGACAATTTTACGTTCGTTGATGGTCCTGATTTATTATTATAATCATAACTAAGTGATAAACCCACCAGGGTCATACAGCCCTGCAGGGTAGGGTTTGATATACTTGATCAGAGACTAGCGAGGGTGGAGAGTATAACAGTTAGTAAGGGTGGCGAGGAGTGCTAAAAGAAGTATAATCAAAGTTCATATAATAAATCTGTTGCTCTCAAAAAGTCAAAGAGGGAGTCTGTGTCAAAGGTGGGGCCGGTCCTGATTTATGTATATACAAAACATCCCCTCACTTGTGTGTTCCTAACAGCGTTCAGGAGCCTGAGAGTAAATCGTTTGATGGATCGTGTTCAAGGGGGACAGACTGGAAGGATTTATATTGAAAATCTTAGATTAAGTAATAAACGTATCTTAATCTGTACAAATTTCAGGACAAAAACTTTACTAGCATAAAAAATAATGTGATCGGATAGCTCTCAGGAGCCTTGAAGACTAGATGAGTTTGTAAAATGGGCTCGAAACCTGTCGACACATTAAAGTCATTAAGGCTACATGTTACCTCTTCACCACCAATCATAAACCCTAATCCCAAGTGTGAGCTTACTGAGATTAAAGTAAACTCGAAGTGTGTGTATATATAATATATATATATATATATATATATATATATATAATTATTATTTTAATATATATATTATATATATATATATGTTGTGTGTGTGTGTGTATATATATATAATATATATATATATATATATATATATATATATATATATATATATATATATATATATATATATATATATATATATATATATATTATATATATATATATATATATATATATATTAAATACTGAGATATATACCCCTTTATGTGTACATGCACAGATCCTCTCAGTGCACACACATCGAGATATAATCATCAGAATTTACATAGTTTGAGACCCTGTCTCAAGAAAAGTATTCCTACGAAATGGAGATGTTTTTCGTCTATTATTATTTACATATAATTATTGCTATGCACTGAATAAAAAATCTCAGTATGTCGCGTAAATTTTATGAAACGGATGTTTTCAAAGTTTCTAATATTTATAACATTTTCCAAAATTTGAGAAAAAATATAGATATCTCTAATATAATAAGAATATTAATATTCACATAAACTCCCGAGTTATTTTAATGACTGATCTTATTTAATTTATATTATAGGTTTTAGTGATACTCTTAAAACAATTATTCAAATGCATATCCTACCTGAAATGTTAATAAATATGCTCCAAACACTTCTAATTATATATATTTTTAACATGCCTTCATTTAGTTACACAATCCATCGCTTGTCAGGGAAGAAACAACAGTCACCAGCCTGGTTAAATCTTCATAATTTACCATTATGTGTGTTTGAGCCTGGAAGTTCACTGGTGCTCTTCGAGTCTCTAGCTTCACACACGATGTGTTCAGGTATTGCCTTCAAGACAAACACATGTCCGTCTTAGTCTTGATCAGGGAATAATCCGGTCTCTATGGACTGTAGTACAAATTTTATTTACTAGAATAGACAAACTTTTCTGAAAAAGTGTTGTTCGATGCCATAATAACGGTCTTTGCTAGTTTTTAATTAGTACAAATTCACAAAGATGGACTATCCCAGATACGGGATAGTACTCATATTTCAGGCTACAAGTGAGTGTTTACTAGAAATAAAAAGAAATCACGTTTTGATTCAACACATAAAATAGGAGGAAACTGCAATTATCGACTAAGGAGAAGGATGTGGGGTCAACGTCATTCCGAACATATTACCGGAGAACCACATTAACCAAATGATTTTGACAGTATATGCAAGGTCAGCGTATCTCAAAACAACCTTCAGGAACCTTAATAAAAATAATCTTTAGGCCTCTGTACACAATGTAAGGAAGGCCTATCTTAGAGTATGTACACCAGTTTTAAGCTTCTACCTGATCAAAAGTGTTCAGAATTTTGACCAAAAAGTACAAAGGTCTGGAACCAAAATGGCCTCAGAATAGAGAATACAATGATACAATGCGAGTAACACCCAGGTACTCATTTTAGTGATGGGTGAACATGGACAACAGGTGTAAGGAAACGCTCAAATTTCCGCCCTTGCCGGGAATCAAACCCAGAACCCTCAGCGTGTGAAGCGAGAGTCTTGCCAACAAAGCCACGAGCCACCTTAGTGGCCAGACTTAGGCTTAGGAGACACACAGATAATGATCAAACCAGATGTAAAGAATGTGGCCAGTCCTATGGTCACTGTTTTGAACATTATGTGCTTATTGTCCACTTACTGAGGAATATAGAGATAGTATAATAACCTATGTGATATGTCAAGATATCTTATTAATGAAAATAGGATACCAGATATATTAAACAAATATCCTAAATTTGCTGGTAACAGATAAGTGAACTGTAGATATAATTCCAGATGTAGTCCTGTTAACACTTTTGTGGCCTAGTTCCTAGGCCTTTTATGTCTATATGCTCTTGTGCTACCGTCCACTGGATGGATATGGGGTGCACGATAAACTAGCCACTTCTAGAACATAAGAACATAAGAACGAAGGAACACTGCAGAAGGCCTACTGGCCCATGCGAGGCAGGTCCAAGTCTCCTACCGGCTTAAGCCAATGCATCCAACCTAGTCAGGTCAGGTCACATTGACTTAAGGGAGGAACACGGCAACCGACCTGGTAGCACAAGCTATCAGGTCTAACTCACACCCACCCACATCCACTCATGTATTTATCCAACCTATTTTTAAAGCTACACAACGTTCTGGCCTCTATAACTGTACTTGGGAGTTTGTTCCACTCATCCACAACTCTATTACCAAACCAGTACTTTCCTATATCCTTCCTGAATCTGAATTTTTCCAACTTAAAACCATTGCTGCGAGTCCTGTCTAGGCTAGATATTTTCTCTGGCGAAATCTAAAAAAATCTAAATATATTATTACATATTATTATTATTATTATTATTATTATTATTATTATTATTATTATTATTATTATTATTATTATTATTATTAAATTATTTATTTATTATTATTATCCTTTTTATTAATTTATTACTATTATTATATTATTATTATTTTATATTATTACTACTATTAATTATTGTTATACCATAGATGCTTGTGTTAATATTTTGAAGGTCAGGTTATACCAAACAATTATATAATGTTTAATTATGATAAAGTTTTCAAATAATTAAATTTATAATAGTTACTCTTGTTGATTGTTATTAGTTTGTTGATGTTTGCATAAGGTCCCTGTGTGAATGTCAAAAAAGATGTAACATGCCGTCTTCAGAGGAGATCCTGTGCATAACTTGCTTAATTCTAACTATGCCGCATATTTTACGCGTTATGTCGTTATTAACTGGATTGTGCTACAGACCATGTTTAATAGGTAGGTTGTTGCTAGTAATGGCTCTTAGCCCTCGAGGAGGTGCTGAAAATGTTCTACCTAGAAAGTAAAAAAGTTGTCCTTCATATACGTAAGGCTAAACATACAGAAATATGTGTACGTTTTCACCTTAGTTAGCGTATTTCTGCATCTTCTTACATGATCATTCGTATTAAGCTTGTATTATGTACAGGTTAATGATACGTTTTTGTATCAAATTTAAACGGAAATTATTAATGTCAGTGCTGTATGACTTGTAGGTTTAACGCTTCTTTTTGATTATAGTAATAATAATTAATGTTGATATCATTATGGCTGTGGATGTAGTTATACACTCAGTACAAACGAGCTTTTTTCTCAGGACTAGGCTTTATCAAGTCCAGTGTATTACTGATA